CCACCACAATCCACATTACTTTTCCCCCACAAGCCTCATCTGCCTTAAAATCCCCACTACCACCACACCTGTGAATACCACCAGAGCAAAACCTACACCATACCCAGAAACCCACCAATCTTCCCAGGCTTCCAGAAAAGGATCAGTAGGCAAGGACACACAGTGAACAAAACCCAGTAACACCCGTCTCAAATTTCGTAAGAATAACAACAGGAAAACAAAAGAGATACCCAAACTCAACAATCATCCGCACACCACAATAGACACAACCACTAAACCAAGTGCACCATAGTAAGGAGAGGGATTATGTGGCACTGCTAATGCCCCTAAAACAAAACAGAGTCCCCTCCAAAAAAATGAAAGTCATCTTTTCTGCTCAGCTTTACCCAAGGCTTATGGTCTGAAAAACTATCCTTGTTCTCAGCTATGGAAACAGAAAACATAATCTTACCAGAAAGACCTTTTGACGTCATAATTTTTCTTCTTTTAAACCCCTGAAGTGAGCCATCACCCAGCAGCACCTTTGGAGGTAGTTTGGAGACCTCTGAGTGAAGGGTCTAGGGCCTAGAATCATATGGTCTAGGGTCTAGGATCATTTGGTATAACCTGATGTGTGAGTTCCCTCTAAAACCAAAACTTTGAGGGGAAAGCCAAGGTTGATGTCCTGTGTCCTGCCATACAGAGGAGAGGTTGCACAAGTGAAACACGCCATTGCTTCCTGAAAATCCTGTTTTATTTATTTCTTCTTCAAACAAAACAGTATTTGGGCTCTTGCATGTGCTGAGCTGTGGCATTTAACTTCTTCAGTTCTTGCCAGATTTATAGTCAGACAGTTAGGGACAAGAAGGGGAAAAACAAGAATGACAAATCTGTTGAACTGTGGAGTTTTCGTTATTGTTATTTTCCTTTGTAAGATGAAAGTGACTTTCTGCAACCTGAAACTGTTGGATTTTCCTCTTTCCCCAAAATGTTTTTTTTCATTTGTTTTTGACATTGTTTAGAACATAGCCTACCATCTTAGCTTAATTTCTCAAAGCTCTTGTACCTCTTTAACAGGGCCTTTTTCTGCCCTCCTGTTACAAAGAAAGGTATCATTTACTCCAGTAATAAACAAGTGAGTGTTATCAACTGTTCTCAGATTATTCCACATAATGTTTTTTTGGCAATCTAATAATAAAACATTCCTTAAATGTGACTCTACTTTGCAAGGGGATCATTCCTCCAAGAAGGACTTTTATTGAGGCATTTACGCAGTCATTTTTTACAAGTTTATGTATCCAGAAACACATCTTGCATACTTTCCATTTGGCCTGCATTAAAAACATACCAGCCCTTGCCAAGTGGCAATGTGGCCTGTGCCACAGACATGGCACTGGTGTGTGCCGTATGTTTGTCATGTTAAAGCCAATCAAAGGAAGCATCACTCTGTAGGAGGGAATGTGGTTATGATTCTTCACAGGAGAGTAGATGCTGTGTTTTGTTTTTCAGTAATAATACA